TTTTTTTTTTTTTTTTTTTTTTTTTTTTTTTTTTTTGCGGGGGCGGTGGGAGGGGAGCAAGGATTTTCCCTTGCCTTCCTTTTGTCTTCAGTTCTGTCTCTGCTTCTTCATTCCAGTGCATTATTTCCATTGGTTTCTAAAGGCTGTTTTGTGCTGTGTCTTTCCACCTTCCAGGGAGAACTCCCGCTTTTGCTCCTACCCTCTGCTTGTGATCTCTCACCTCTCCTGTTTTTGCCTGTTTCTTGTACCTGCATAGCCTACACCTTCATACGCAGTTTATTTACAGTAGATACAGATTCTTACTCTGTCCTCAGCAAAACAGTGCTATCTCAGCCTCTTTGAACAGCATACCAAGAAAATGATTATTACAGCTCATGCTCCCTCTGTGATCAGGTGTGTGACATGAAGAATGTTTGCTTACACTGAGCATTAGCTCAAGGTTGTTGAGGTTTTTAATTGCATATGGACTAAAGATGTGTTTTGTTAATGACCTGTTGAAAGACTGACTCTTGTGTTCAGAGAACAGTGAGGTGAGGTCCATGAGTATCAGATCCTGTGGGAGTTCCCTCTGAAGCCTAGTATTTGCCTTCATGGTAGAAGGTCAAATCATCTTGAAAACCCAAGCTATTGACTGTGATCTTCACTGTGGAGTGATAGGTGTTCTTTTCAGACAGCTGGTTACATAGACACACACCAGGCTAAGAGCCATCAGTAAATACAGCACAGTCTTCTGGGTGAGCCAAGCCATGGGAACTTGCTGGCATTGTGCCCTCCAATTCAAGGAGAGTTGAATTGAAGCCATTATATATCTTATAGATAAAGTCAAACAACTTGCAGTAGATTTTGATAAGAAGTAAAGTTGTGAACAGAGACTGTCTGGTATGTTCTCAGCAGCCTGAAATTCAGGCTGCTGAACCATGAACCCTGTCCTGGGTTCAGGTTGTTGGTGAGTCACTAAGCAGGACTTTGGCTTATGAAAGTAAGCTGGACTCTACACAGAAATGAGCTCTATCAATTAGTCTTCCTCTTCTGCTTTTTCTGATCTCCCTTGCTGGTCCTCTCTCTAAGCCTCCATGACTGTTTCTCATTTTGCATGTTTTCTATATTTTTTTACCTCTGTCTAAAATTCTTCACTCTTCCCACTGAGCTGAGGGTATTTCTTCCCCTCTCTGCTGTCTTCACAATAGCAATGGAAGCACTGAGATCAGAGCAGGGATCCTCTTCCCATTCCTGTTGCAGAAGCTGCTGCCTGTGCCAGGTTAGCTGAGTCCTGCTCCTTCCACCCTGGCCTGCACTGCGCTTTCATTGTGCAAGTGGAGCATCTGTTGTAGAGGTAGAAGCTGTTAGGACTTGGGGGGTGTTTGAGGGAGAGAAATTTGTATGTCCACTACCAAATGATATTGTTGATACCAAACGTACAAATACCATTTTTGGATGTATACTGCTTGGTTAAATTTTAAGAACAGGCAAAAATCAAATGTCTGGAACTGCTGCTTTCATTCAGCATCACAAATAACTAATCATGGAATATCCTGTTGCCATGCATCAATTGGTCTGTGGCAATACAAATCGAGCCTTTTAACAGAAAACCCTACTGAAAACTTCTACTCTGAGGGCTTTCCATGGAAAATATCTGTCCAAAAAGCTTCACTTCTGAAAGGTTTGGTTAACTTGTAAGGCAAGAAGATGAAGTTTTTTGACTGTAGATGTTGTTACTTCCATGATAACTGGTACCCAGGGATTTAGTTGGTTCGTATTGTTTGGGGGTTGCTTTTTTGCCCTTATTTCTACAATTTTTTCCTCAGTTACCAAAGTGGGGGGAAAATGTGTAGGCTTTTGTCAAAACTGGTAGGTAGTAAACTCTTATTATTATTTGAACTTCTTTCCTTGATTGACTTTAAAAGAAAGTCCTTTGAACATCCATCTCTGTTGATGTCCGTTTATATATATATATATAAACATATATATTTAATTAGAGTTCTCTTTCTTATGATTTTTGCTTGATCTTCTAAGGAAATGTACATAAAGCTATCATACTCTTTGTTCTCTTGTCTATCTACCTGCCTGTCGGTACCCATGTGGTGAATTAGAGACCCCTTGCCAAACAAAACTAGATTGGGCCCTCTACTGAAAAAACTCAGAAATTAAGTCCTCTAAGTTTCATGGAAATCGTTGGCAGAGGAATGGGACAGATAAGGGATTCAAATACCTTCCATTATGGAAGATAATGTTTAAGCTCAATGGTTTGTTTTTTTTTTATCCTGACAGATGGCAAGTCAGCACACACGTGCTGTCTCTTCCCCAGCCACGGATGGGCAGCAGCAAGATGTTGAGGGGAATGCTGTAGCGTACTTGGAGGTGGAGACGTGGAACTCTTGCAGCAAGAAGTGGAGGAACAGATTGTACACATCTGTAGGAAACCACATTTTAGCATTTCTGCTGTCCAAGGAACATCTGGCATCTGTTTGAAGGGAAGTGAAGGTAATTATAAAAGGATGCAGGGAGGGCTAAAGGAAAAAGGTCTTAAATGTGTAGGAAACTGGGCTACATTAGTTTTGCTGTTTATGGCATGACACACTAGCTTTCAGCCTTTGTTATTGCTATCCTGGAAACAATCCTGAGCAACGGCTTTTGTCTAGTCAACAAATTTTTGATTTGTGCTGTTCGGTTTCTTACTTAGGGAAGAACTTTGTAAATAATGGGAGAGGGATTTAATGCCCACAGTTTACTGCAAGACTTAGAAAAGAACATATAAAAAGCAGTTAGTAAGGGGGAGGTCCATCAAGCAATTACAGCCAAGGGACTAGAGTTCTCAGTGGAACAAAAAGGGGATTGGGATCAGGGACTGATATACCAAGAAAAGGAAGGATTTATACCGATTTTACCATTGACCAACCTTTTATGTATCTATTAATCTTCAACTGAATAAAATTTACCATTGCCCCAGCTCCTGAAAGCCAAAACTTCTGGAAAGCCAAAAGCATATAGTATAAACAGCTGTAAAAATTCTCATAGAAATAATATGGTTGAACCTAGCACAACTGGAAAGTATGCTGGTGCTCCTAGACAGTCTTTGAATACTTTAAACTAAGGATTTTTGAAAGCACACAGAATCACGAAATGCTTAGATTTCTCTGCTTTAATTCTAAAATGCTAAAAAAAATACCTCATACCAAAAAAAATTACTTTCAAAGATGCATCAATGATTTTTTTTTTGAAATGTGTTTATTTAGCTCATAATAACCTCTCATCTCTTCAAAAATAGGTATTTAAGAGCTCAGATGTCATCTGTTTTCAAAGCCAGTCTGGCTTGATGTATAGTGTTTCTAGAAGCAATACATTTAGGGTGACTTCTCCTCGAATGGGTCTGAAGAAAAGCTCTTCAATAGCATCTGCATCAATGTCTCGAAGAGAGGTGATTAGCTGAAGAATTGAAGCAAACCTGCCCAGGTTTCCATGGAACATTGTTGAGACAAACTCCATCAAGGCTTGCTGAGCTTCCTGCTGCAGTTTCTGTACATAGGGGAGACATTTTAGGACACAGCATCCTGTCAAAACAAAAAGTAAAATAGCAAATCTTGAGTAAACACTTCTGTTCTGAGCCCTTCGATGGATTTCTGGCTTATAGCACTACTTTCTCTATAGAAAAACAAACGCTTTCTAAACATACTTTTTGGTAAAAGAAGATATGTGTTGTTTACTAATTTGAAAGAGCGTTGAGCAGCATTGTAAACACACAGTAATCTGGCCTATTACATTAAAATCCAGCTTTGAAATAGTAACAGCAGGTAACTGACTTAGTACAGACAGAGAAGAAACTTTATTGTGTTGTCTACCCACCAAATGTTTCTGAGCCCATAGTCTGAGTAGGTGGAAAAATTCCAGCTCTAATCTATGCCAGGTAGGTAACATCAGGAAGATGGAGATGGTGGTCTGGAGCAGCGAGCAGGCTTGCAGCCTGAAAACATGGTTCTGATGTCTACTTAGCCCCATCTCCACCCTGTTATTGCCTCTGCTTACTAGACTAAGCTGGGGAACTGCGGTTCACCATGCTGTGTAGATATTTTCATTTACAGTCTAAAAAGAGCATAAAGATTCTCTGTGAGATGCATCATGACCCACAGGAATGGGTCCTGGTTCTATGTTCCCTTTCCTCAGCCATTTCTAAAAGAGGAGAGGTCTCTGTCCTATGGAGTCATGGTCTTGAGCCTCAGTCACATACTTCCCATAGCATGTGACCTGCTGGCTTGAGGGCGCTTGTGGGTGCCAGGACTCAGTGCAAAGAACACCCTGTGTTTATCCTTTGCCTCTGGAGGGATTGGCTTGTCATGTAGCTCTCAGCAATCTGTTGCCACCTGTTTTCAACACCTGAGGATAACAACATCTTTTCTTTTCTAGAATTGCTGCAGCCTGGACAGAGGTAGCACACACTCTAGGCCTATTTGGCATCTTTTACAGTGATGACTCCATCCCTCCCTGGGATGGGATCTGAATAGCTTACAACAGGGAGCGTTTCACACAAGATCACTCATTTAAGTGTGGGAGGTTCTGCCTTCTTGCCTAGTGCCCTCTACTAGGGCAAAAACAGCCTGGTTGGGTTCTCTTCAGCCTGTAACTGGCTGCCCTTTGTCGGCCTTCAGCAGCTCTCTTCCTAAACATTACTGCCAGAGGAGAGGAGAGAAAGTCTCAGCCAAACTTGAAACCAAGCTAGCTAGAAATGGAGACTTTGGAAAAGTCATCATCTCCTCTGAGATTACCAGCAACTGCAAGCTGTGAGGATAGTTCCAAGTGTTAGATTTTTTCATGGAAAGGAAATTGCCAAGATTTTGTGTATTCAAGATAAAATTGCAATTGTTTATATCACTTCAAATATGCATAATTTCCCCATTTGGACTTCTTTTCTGTGTAATCAAACGTTGGGTTTAATTTAGATATAATGACACACTTCTTGTTCTGAGATCTGTTGTAATAATACTCAGTCAAACACATGTTTCCAGCTGAACTATAAACCTCTTAAGAGTATCCTTTTTAGCAGAAGTCCTGTCACAGCCTTGATGGAGTTTTAAAATTTATATATGTATAGAAAACACTCCATAAATATGTATATATATGGCACTGATTAATTAGCAACATTTTTTCTTTCACAGTTCCCGTCCCTTCACTGTGTAGTTCCATTGCTTTTCAGACAAAAGCACAAGAACATTTTCACCTCACTCTGAGCTGTTCCTGTGTGGCAGAACAGTCCTACCTGCTCCTTCCTCTGAGTTATTGCCCGTGTCCTAGTAGAGAAGGCCTTGCAGCTGGACCCTTCACCCACAGAAACTGTGACCTCTTGGAAGCCACCTAGCCAAGGCTCCCCTGGGAAAAGCAGGGATGCCAGTATGTTCTGGAGAGTCTGGATCCCATTGATGCAAAGTGCCTGTTTCCCCTCAGGGGCTGGGTAGATGCTTTCTTCTTTGCAGGTTCTTGCTGGCCCACCTGAGGTCAGTCAGTAACCCAGCCAGAGCCTCCTGCACAGAGGTGCTGCGCAGAGTCTGCTTCTATTTCCAGCTCTGGGGCCCTCAACAAAGGAAGGATGTGGACCTGCTGGAGCAAGTCCAGAGGAGGGCCCTGAAGATGATCAGAGGGCTGGTGCACCTCTCCTGTGAAGACAGACTGAGAGAGTTGGGGTCATTCATCCTAGAGAAGAGAAGGCTTCGGGAAGACCTTACAGCTGCCTTGCAGTACCTAAAGGGCTTTACAAGAAAGCTGGCAAGGGACTTTTTACAAGGGCATGCAGTGGTAGGACAAGGGGTAATGGCCTTGAACTAAAAGAAGGTAGGTAGTTTTAGATTAGATATTAGGCGGAAATTCTTTACTGTGAGAGTGGTGTGGCACTGGAACAGCTTGCCCAGAGGTGTTGTGAATGCCACAACCCTGGAAGTTGGCCAGGAGGCCAAGCTGGGGCTTTGAGCAACCTGATCTAGTGGAAGGTGATCCTGCTTATGGCAGGGGGGTTGGACTAGATTATTTTTAAGGTCTCTTCTAACCCAAACCATTCTATGATTCTAGTGGCAGGACCTACATTCCATCATGCTGTCTGTCACTCTCTTGACAAAGGAAATTTTTTAATGATAGTAAGCACAATATCTGTGCCACAAGAGATCACCCAGGGCACAAGCAAAGCTTCTTATCGAAGTGATGGCTGCTACAGCTGCATTCCTGGATGTCCTTTTGAACTCCCACTAACAACCCAGCTCTGAACTTCTCTGTACCTGGCCCTTCACCATTCCCTCAGTCAGTTTTGGTGGTCCTAACCAGGGTGGGAGCCCTCATGAGGTACTTCATGATCCAAGAAAGGATTTACCATTGTCACTGCTGGTGGCTTCCTGAAATCCTCTTAGAACTGAGGCCTGCAAAATATTAACATTTTGCCAAACATCACGCCAAAACTTGAAGAGTTTGAAAATGTGCTCCGTGTATGTAGAAAATATCTTCTGAGTTTGGTGAAAAGTATTAAAAAACTTTTTAAAATAGCAATTGTGAAACAACAGCTGTACAGATTTGTTTGCAGCAAAGTGCAGTTTGGGCAGTGTACAAGCCCTGAGTTTTTGTTTCAGCTCAGAGTTAGACAGTAACTGTTTCATCTGGAGTCAGTCAAAGCTTACCAGAAGTTTGCTAGGCTGCCTTCTGCAGCTCATGGAGAAACATTCCAGAGGACAGGTTCATTCAACCTATGAGCTAGGTGACATTCCTGAAACACTGGAATGTGTCTGCAGACAGCATCAAGGGCTGCTAGCCCTCATACAGCACCTTAGGGAAGCAGCAGGCCTTAGAAGGTACAAATCCAGAACATAACTCTGCTTCTCTCTTTTTAAGTGAAAATCTCATTTTACCCACAGAGATAATAAAAATGCCTGCTAGTTAAACTGTGCAAGCAGCTGCAGATGAGGCATTTCTCTTCTTCCCATCCCCCTGGATATAACTGAGGTTTTGTTCAGCCTGATTTTATTGTGAAAAACCTGATAAAATAAGTTGCACTGAAACAAACTCCACTGGTCTGATGCTGCAGCATAGACACACAAGGCAATACCAAACATCTGGATGACATTACACCTCAAGAGTCAGAATTTGAATCCCATTGGAAACAAATATAAAATCATACAGCTTCTGAGCAGCCTATAAACCATTCACCACAAGAAATATAATGGAATAACTGAAGCATTCGTGTGTCCTTTTGGTGCAGTCTGAAGTACAGCACACTGCTGACAGTGCAGCCAACACCAGTGACTGCTGTGGAAGGAGCCGGGGATCTCAGCCAGAGCAGGCTGGAGTCAGTAAGTCTTTCCATTTACTTTAGTGTACTTAGAGCTCATTTTTTAATGACTCATGCACTCCATGGTGCTGACTGAGGAAACTGTCCTTCCTAAAGAGCCTGAACTTGGCATCTGAAGTGAGAGGATGCAATCACTAGTTTTAGTTTGCTCTGCTACTGCTGTTGCAGGCTTTGAATGTAGAGATACTAAATTATATAAATGAAGGATATAAAGAAATAAAAGTTACGTAACATCAACACAGCATCCTTTTGCCTCATTGATGAAAACCAGTTGATAAGGATTATTTGTTTTCTCCAGAGTTCTTTTTACAGAGGAAGTCTTTGTTAAAATATTTCCAATGCTCACATTGTGTACCCATGTACCATCTCTCCTTTGCAGTACTATGGATGAGGCTGCTGTATTATCTTTGAACTGAAAATCAGTTTGAAGTGACACTATTTATTATTTATGACTTAAAATTTGTCTATTAGAAGCTGTTTTGGCTTACAGTGGACGACCTACTGCACACAGCCAAGGAACTGAAATAAACCATTTCAGGCAGAAAAATCATTAAATTGAGGAATATGAATTTTTGAGAACATTTAGCTGTATTTATAGGCAAGAGTAAAACTAAACATTTGTCTATATACAAATGAAAATGCCAAATGCCTTTCTAAGCCCATAATCATCTATGTAGTTTCCAGGAGGACTCACCAGAATTAAAAAGAATAATTCCTTTAAGATAGGCATATTCTTTTGCACTTAAGTCCAGGTCCCAACATTTCCACAAGAGATTCTTCATCTTCTGAACTTCGGCTAAAGATGCTCCTGCTGATGAGCTGCCCAGTTCATTGCTAGCTGTCAAAGACTGATTGAGGAGAATTTTTTTCAATAAACTAGGGACTGAAATCTCTCTCAGATCAAAATCCACCTCTTCTTGTGCCATGCCCAGGACAAAAAGAGGGGCCCAGTTCTGCTGTATGAGGACAAGTTGATCATCCAAAGGCATGTGGTAAAAAGAAGGCAAGTTTCTAATAAAAGTTGAAGTCTTCAAGAGCACTCCAGAAGCTCTTCTGCATGTGGCTTCTGGTGTTTTCAGGACAACTCTTCTCCTGTCCCAACAAGAGCAGCCCTTGCTTTCTGTGGAGCAGTGGGGACTGTGATGCTGTTGGTGCCACTTGGTCTCACTTCCATGCTCTTTGTTAAGGATCTGGTACAGGATGCTCTTAGTATGGTGTGTCTCACACTGACATTTCCCAAATTTCTTAATTGGGATCTTGGTAGCCATAGAGCCAGAGTTCCCTGTGGCAGGAAACACCACATGTGGACCTATGCATCAACAACAGGAGAGAGCATTCCTGCCACACAGTGAGGCAGTGCATGTTTTTATACACACGGGCGGTTAAAAAGAAATATGACCCTGATCTGTGAAGTTACCTTGAACTTTATTTGCACCAGTCTGCTTCGAATGAGGCGGGGCTGATGGCTGCTGCCACCAGGCAGTGGCCTTTTGCCAAAGGCCAGCTCTATAACACGTACAGCCTGTCCCTGAGGGGAAGCCTGGGGAAAACTATGACACCATAAGTGAAGAAGGAGCAAGTTGTCTATGTTTTCATTGGTACACTGACACTGTCCACTAACTAATGCTCCTGAGGGCACAGGAATGCATTTATGGTGACACAAATGATGCTGTGTCACCAGGCACTTCTTGAAGTGCCTACTTGAGTAGGCACTTCTATTTCTTGTTTAAAGGAGCCACCTGAAAATGCTGTGGATGTTTACCGTTATTTTTCATAGAGCTCTGAACAATGTTCATTCTTTACACTGTAACTAACAGGATGTGTGATACCTATGTCCCAGGGTTGGAAATCCCATGTTTAGGAATTACCTCATGTTTCTGTGAGATCTGAGAGAAACTTCAGAGAAGGTCAGCTGCTATAGCTCATGACAGTGTTATCTTTTGCCTTTCAAAAATGATAATTTCAAACACAGAACATGTGGATGTAGAATCACAGAATCAATTGGGTTGGAAAAGATCTTTAAGATTACAGAGTTCAACTATTAACCCAGCACTGCCAAGTCCACCACTAAACCATGTCTTTGAGCACCACATTTACGTGTCTTTTAAGTACCTCCAGGAATGGTGACTCAAACACTTCCCTAAGCAGCCTGGGCATCTGGCATTGATGTAGAAATAAGACAATGCAAAGCATCCAGTACAGTTTCCTCCTTTACTTCAGAATATTTCTCCCAGACTTACTGTGTAATTAAATAGTCTTCATGCAAACCAATGAACTAAAAATGGCAATTTGTACTGTTGCATGTGTGAACTTTTGTAGCAGAGCAAGAGCTGAATGACTGAATTGTCAGGACTCTTTAGTAAACATCAGGGGACATTAAGTAGCAGGAACAAAAGGAACTCAGACTAGATAAGAAGAAATTGATACTTCAAGTTTTTGTTACTTTACACTGTCTTGCTTGCTTTTCTACAGGGGAAGAAATACTAGGTTTTTTCATCAAGCATAATGTTTATGTATGCCATCTGGGCTCTTAGCACATCTTAACAAAAAGTAAGCATTAAAAACAACAGCTTGAAGGTCTTAATCTGCCAGATCTCCAAGCCTTTGGCTAGAGGCCCTCCCACCAGATGCATAGCTGCAAATTCATGTTTCGCTACAAATTTTGGTTTTTCCATGCTGGGCCATTTTAAAATTTCCATTTATTTACCTCTCCATTATATTTGTGTTGCAAAATTTTCTCCTTCTGAGATAAAAAGTGGAAGAAGAGATGACTGCTTTGAAGTGGAGCAATCTAATAGTGCTGCTGAGATGCAGTACCACTAAGTGCAGCGAAGGTCAGGGCACACAGAGCACCACTGGTGGGATTTGCTTGTCCACCTCTCCATCCATTCAACAGCTCCCTGCTGTTGTCCATTGCTGGGTTATCAAAGAGCTCTTTAGGTTAAATGGCACAGCAACAGAGGAGTCCCCAGATAACCCTATCCCTCTTATTCTTAATGTAAAACTCAAGCTGGCCCGAGGTTCAGTGGAATGAACTCCAGTTGTAGGGCTAATGCCTTCTGAGATTCAGGATGAATTACATAGATTGCCTAATGGCTGTACTAGACAGAGAGACTGAGCTTGCTAAAATCAGTCTTACACAGCATTTGTTTGTGAAAAGAAGCTCTGTCTTCTAACTGCTGGTGAGCATGGTGGTGTTTCAGTAATCTAGGTCAGAAAATGAGTTTTTAGAAACCCAGCTCCTGTACTCCAAGGAAAAAAAGCATCATCTCACAGTTGACCGTTTCATAGTTCAGGTCATTATTTCACAGTTCCTATTAATTGTGCTAATTAAAGTTCTACCTCAGATTAAATTGATTCCTTTCCTAATTTTCTGTTAATGAGATCCGCATCAGTCATATGCAGTGAGTCCTGATGTCAATATGGTGTTGGATACCATTTCTATTTGTCATTTCCTTTGATTGTGTATATATCTAAGTGGCAGAAGCAAATTACATTTTTTTTCTAACAGGAATTCCTGGTATATTATAAAAACTTTATGACTGTTTACCAAAAATACAGAGTAAAGGTTACTTCCTCAGTATGACTGCTAAGGACACATCATCAGCTTTTTCTGAGAGAATGATTATTTGGAATTATGAGTCAATATAGCATTGTAGGTGAAACGTATACTAGTGGTCCTGATTCGAAATTGCCTGAAATGAGCTTTCTGCATGACCAAATTTTCTCAAATATAGAAGACCAGTAGCCAGATTTAGTGCTATGCTCATAAATGAGGCAACAGTTAATTTTTCTTTCTAAATCTTACCAATAGAATGGTTGCAGCTACATGCACCTAGATATAAATCATCTAAGTCTTCTTGCTATAGTAGAAATGTTTCATACTTTCATATGTTAAGAAAGTATACGATACAAACCCCAGTTTTGTGATATGAGAAATCCGATGGGTTTTTATCTATTTTAGCTGTCTCTAGCACTATGAGAATGCTAAGACACAGTCACATTAATGTTATCTTTTCTGCTTTGCATTTATATACTTTTTTGAATCTACAAGGAACACACTCCCACATTCGCTGTCACCACATTCTCTCTGCAACCATCAAAATTGCTCCTCGGGCACGAATGCCAGCATTTGGACAACAAAACAGTGTGTCCTAACTACACGCACAAAATTAGAAGAACTGAAAGAGGGTCAGTTTAGATTAGATATTAGGAAGAAATTCTTTACTGTGAGCATGGTGAGGCACTGGAACAGGTTGTGCGGAGACATTGTGGATGCCCCATCCTTGGAAGTGTTCAAGGCCAGGTTGGATGGGGGCTTGAGCAACCTCTTCTAGTGGAAGGTATCCCTGTTCATTGCAGGGGGGGGTTGGAACCAGATGATCTTTAAGGTCCCCTCCAACTCAAACCATTCTGCAATTCTATGGCTGCTGCATACAGCCCTTTGATATTCACACCATTGCTGGGAATAAAAATAATAAATATGCTATTGGGTCTAAAAGTGTGAGACATATTATTTTTGGCTCATAGTTCATGGCATTAATTCAACTAATAGAATACTTGGAAGGCTTAAGAGACTTGTCAGATAATATAGGAGCTTAGGAGGCCGTCTTATCCTTACCTTGGCAGTAGCCAAACATGAGACCTTCAGGAAGAAAGTATGATATATACCACTCTGCTCATGAGTATTTTTCTTGTCTTCAATCATTTGTAGCCTGGGGGAAATCCTGAACCAGAATGATTTTATGCATTTAATAACTTTCAATTAATTTCTAACCTCTGATCTTACACAGCCTCCTCCTGAAGCCACGTGAACATCCACATCAGCCTATGTCAAGGAGCTCTGTGGATGCCTGTGGTGCGAGACAAACATTGATCAAACATGACATTTGCTGGATCTGGAACCTTTCTGCTTTTGTTCTGGGAAGAAAAAAAGGGAATCGATCCCTATTCACTCTCTCTACAGCTTGTTTTATTTTACAAATCTCAGTAAGACTCACACAGTCATCCTTTGTCCAAACTAAAGAGATGTAACTTCTTTCTTTAGAGTGGCGTTGGGCTTTGATCATCTTGTTACCCTTCTTTGAATCTTTCTTAGCCCTATCACTTTTCTAAAATATTCTTTAGGGAGAAGTGTGAAAAGAATCAGAACAGGACACAGTATCCAGGACTTAGGAAGGTGTGGATTTATACAGGGACAGGATGAGGTTTTGTGTTTTGCCTTTCCCAGATGTCACTCCTGAGCTGCTGTTGTCATGAAACTGTCACAGCCCCAGGTTTTGCTCCTGAATGATGTTCATCAGTTCAGAGGCTCTTATGTTAGTCAGCAGTGGAGTTAGGGATGTTTTATCATATGTGCATCTTTTGTCATATAAATATGTTTATAAATACATATATACACACATAATTATCGTTTGACACCTAACTGATGATTTTCATGAAGCCTTTCTACAATTCTTCTGACAGCCCTAGTCTACCTCAATAATTTGGTGCCATCAGCAGACGTCCATATTCTGAAACTTTGAAGGCACTGCTCTTCAGAATAGTTCCTTGCAGTAGAGTGTCGATATATGTACAAGATGGCTTATATATATGTGTGTGTATATATATATATGCTGGGTTATATGTATATACACAATGTATATAGTAACTGTTATTACTAAGCAGTGAAGTGAGGTCTCCTACTTTCCTAAAAGGTGAGACTGGAGGCAAATGCATTTCTGGCAAAAAAGAATCTTCCACTATTATTTCATATGGGCTACAAGAAGGAAACACCTTCCTGGGAAGCTGACAGCAGCTTTTTTGATGTCACACCAGGTTGATATATGCACATATTCCATGATTCAGTGACCTCTTATCTTTCTGGTCTCATGTAAAAACATTTATATGGCCTGTAAACATCCATATGACTTCAGAACAGGATTCTCTAGAGGTTTTACACAACTTAGGAGGAGCTGGGTGAATTTCATGTCACTGGTACTTTTGAGGACAGTTGATCACTCTAACAGCCTTAATGATGACTAGAGGAGACTAATAAAACCATTATCTTTCTAGAAGGGTTCCATCTCCCCTTGTCTCATGGTGCACACCATCTCTCTTGAGCAATAAAGGTATTCATTTCTCAGCTAGAGGAACCAAGAGCTACCATTCAGACTGCCTGTTTCAGCTAGGCAGAGATTGGGAAATACCAGGGCCAAGCTGAAGCCTGCTCAGCTTTGAAACAATCTCTGAAACAGTGTCTTTAGCTTCTGGTAATGCCATGGCAAAGTGATATATGGCCCTTATATCTGAAGCAAGTCTACATATATCATGA